TACTTTAAATTTAATAACTATAGAATTATATATATATATATATATATATAATTTTATAAATTCTAAAGATAATAAGCGCACGTATCAAAAATTATTTAGCAAAATAAATATGATTGATGAGAATGATGCTGTCACAAAAATATATTTATGTATAAAATATATATTGTTGAGCAATGCGGGACCAAACTGTGCGCCGAGTATTCGTATCGATAAAAATAACACCGTTTCTGTTCGTATGTAATGAGAGAAGAAGAGAGAGATGCGAGAGAGAAGAAGGATTCGCCAAATTTTGAAATAAAATTTTTTCATCTCGAAACCCTTTCTTTCTTTGTGAAAAATACGATTTTAAATATTTAATGAATTAATATATTATTCAACGTTTTGCGTGCAAGAGAGAAATACACGCAAAGGAGTACACCTTATAAATTTATATATTTAGGTCACAAATGCAGCGTATATAAGAGTAATTGCCAAGCATGCTTAGCAATGACAAATCAAAAGCATTTAATAAGACAGATTAAAAGCAAAAATGATGCTATCAAATTTTAAGCTATAAAACTAGCATGTACTTATGTACTTTCTTTTAATTTTCTCTATTTTATCTATTGTTCACTAAAAATTTTGCTATAAGATGAAGGAATTGAGTTATATTGGACTGGGTAATGCGAGTATTAATAACTTGTGACATCGTTGCATTTTCTAATATTATTTTCAGCATCATAGGAAGAAACGGAAGAATCAATATAATCATGGGATCGAAATATTTATAACAAGAGTTATTAATAAAAAGATAAATAAAACACATAAAACAAGAACGTGTATATGTTAACTTACCAATTTCCAATTTAGCGCTACAAATCGCTCTACCAGCTGCGTTCTCCGCTACGCAAGAAATAGTACCGACGTGTGCATCCCTGACTGCAGGAATGGTCAAAACTTGTCGATCTCCGCTGACGGAAACTAGAAAATCTTTCCCATGTACCGGCCGCTCATTAAACAACCACTGAATCTATAAAAACAAAATCTCAGCTCAATAAAATCAGCTGTTAATCAAATAAAATAAAAAATAGAATATATTAAACACGTAAACATGTGCATCAAGAAGAAATGCAATGCTCTACACTCCCGTTATATTCAATTTACAATTAACAATTTTAATAAATTATAGGTGAAGAAGTTGGTAACGAAGTACGTGGTACCTGTATGACAAGACCACGACGCTTCGCACCGCATCGAAAGTTCCATCTTATACTCCGCGGCGCGACTGCAATCGAGCTTTTCACATGAGGTATATTGTTCGCGTTTAAATATAACTTGTCGGGCATAAAATTAGTTTTATCCCGTCCTGACAGGCCAGCCAACCTCTCATCTAGACACTGTTTATGTGACACTGTGGCTCATGTAAATTTCAAAATGCTAAGATTTTACGAAATCAAATCTTCTTGCTTGGTTGTATAATGTTCATTATAGTATGTTTGAAACAATCTTGCGCGCAATTGTAAATATGACCGTAATATTTGGATCACTTTTCTTGCTTACATTGTACTAGAGAGTATTTATCTATTTCATTAATTATAATTATCATAATTAAACATTACATTATTTTTAATACATTATATATTACATATTACATATCCTAATATTCCCGACTCTTTATCATTTTTCTTTATGTGCAATAGAATATTATACGTACTGCCGAAACAAGTACTCTTTATGTGCAATATTATTTCTACAAATTTATATTGTCAAAAATGTACAAACATAATCGTTATCGTTATTCAAAAAAATTTATAGTTTCTATGTTAACAAGAATGTTATGTCCACTGTTAATTTTTATTAAAACTTTCTTAAGTGAATTCTTCGATGCAGTTGACTTTTGAGAAAACTATAAAGAATTGTTTCACTGTACACAAAAAAATTTTCGGAATATAATAAAAAGTAGATGATTTTTTGAAAAATTATATATTGCATTTAACTCACCTTAGGAGAAGGTTTACCAGTGACAATGCATTCGAATTTTGTTGTAACTCCTTCGAGAATTCTTCTGTCTTGAAATGTTTCTTTAAATGTTGGTTGAATTAGTTTTTCTTCCATCTGGATAAACTCTTCGTTTCTTTTAAAATCACCAAGAGATTTCACAACCAACCTGGCGAAAGCTTTCGCCTCACCATGCACGTTTGTGACTTTCGCCACGTAATTGCCTTTATCTTCCGGTACCGTTGGAGAAATTTTTAAAAAAACCGTTCCATCTTCCTTTTCTTCAGTCTGTTATACGGCAATATTACAAAAAGTATTATGATTATTTATTATATGTTAAATGAAATTCAATCCATACAAATTACGAATATACTCACAAAAGTTCTCTCGTTATAAGTAATTTCACCACCATCTGAATACCATCTCAAATCAGGTTTGGGTTCTCCAACTATAACGCATTCAAAAATTGCATTTTCGCCTTCAGCCACCAGCAAATCTGTCGGAAATCTGATAAACTTTGGTGCGGAACCATTGATAAGAGTTTCATCTTTTTCTTGTACTTGACCGATTACATCCGAGATCTGAGACATCGCTATAAATAGAAAAAAATATATTATATGTGGATGTAAATGTAAAATATTAATTAATTTTTCTTATTAAAGGAATATAATTATACATACGTGTAACTGTTAATGTACACTGACTGGAAGCTTCGCCAGCAGAATTAATAGCAACTACTTTGTATACACCGGCGTCATCCAAGAAAGCTTCATGAATAATTAATGAACACCGATCTCCTTGGAAGAGTAATTGAAAGTCTGACGACTCTTTTACAGGTTGTTCATCATGATACCAGATTACCTGAAAAGCCAAAAGTTAACAGAAAAGAAAGTTGTAAGTTGAAAAATTAAAAACAAATAAATTTACCTCCGGTTCAGGTTGACCTATAATCACGCAATCTAGTCTTGCCGATCGTCCTTCTTGTATTTTAAGATCCTGCAAAGATAACTGAAATTTTGGAACTATTGGTTCCGTGTCACTACCAATAAAATCGGATTCGCTAGTTTCGTGAAACAAACGTCCTTTCACAGAAACGGTACAAGATACGGTAGCTTTTCCAAATTCATTACTGGCAATCACTGAATAAGATCCGGCATCCTTCGGAAAGGCTTCCGTAATAGTTAAGCTTGTTCGAATACCATCCGTTTGAATCTGAAAAAATTTGTAAATGATTGTATTACATTATCAAAACAACATCACGTATCCTATCTTACTTTATGGTATCTGCTTTCTTCAATTGGTTTCCCATCGTGATTCCAGCTTAATTTTGGTATTGGATCTCCATTAGCTTCGCATTCTAGTTTCACTCTTTGTCCTGCTCTGGCCATAACATTTGATAACGGTATCACAAAATATGGTTTCTTTATAGAAATTTGCGCGGCTAAAATTAATATTTATTAATTATAAATAAAGAGAAAGTATATATAATTTTTAATGTAATATTATCAACAGAATAAAAGCCTTACGTTTTACATCTAAAAAAGCAGTGGTAGATGACTGCCCCCATCGATTTATCGCTTTACAGGTATATGAAGCCTTGTCTTCCAAAAAAACTTCATCGAATTTTAAAATTGCTTCTCCATTGTTGAAAGTAATAATGTAATCCGGAGAATTATCAATGTTAATATCATTTTTGTACCATTGTACCGTTGGAAGAGGATTTCCTTCAACAGTACATTCTAATCTATGAGACCAACCTTCCCTCACGAAAGAGGACTGCAATTCTTTTGTGAAAACGGGGGCATTTTGCTGTTCTTCCGTGATTGTTTCTATCAATAAGTTTAAACGTAAAAAGCTGAGTGTTAGCGTATTTGCATTTTTTTAAATAAGTACGTATGCAAATTACCTTTGACAGTAAGAGTGGCTGATGTTTCGACAGAACCAAGAATATTAAATGCACGGCAAGTGTATTTGGCGGAATCTTCGGCAAACGTTTCTTCTATTTTTAAAGTACAAATGCCATTTATATAAGTTGTTAAGTAGTCTGGATTATTTAAAATTGATATTCCATCTTTGTACCATACTACTTCTGGTATCGGTTGACCAATTAAGTGACATTCAAAACTGAATTCTTTGCCTTCTTCAACTGTTGCATCTTTCAAAGGAACTGTAAATTCTGGAATTAACAAAATAACTTCGTCTGTTATCGCTTGTTTAATAGAATCATGCGATTTGTCATCTATTTTCTTAGATTCAAGTTTTGGTGAACTTGTTTCCTGTTGAACAACCGGAACACTCTTCTCGATTTCCATCTATAAACAGAGTGAGCATAAATTATACAGTTGTAAAATTAATAATTTAAATACAATTCTTAAAATACCTTCTGAAGAACATGAATTTCCTTTGTTGTCATAGCAGACGTAACAGTTTCTTCAATTACGGTTTCATCGGTTTGAGCAGAGACGGAATGAGAGATAGGAGGAACAACTTTTTGTGCTTCTTTCTCTTTATTTTTTTCGCCTCTGTCGCAGCTTTATCTAAAGTTTCAGCGGCAAGCTGTTCCGCAAGTTTCTTCGCATTTTCAGCTTCCATTCTAGCAGTTTCCGCCGCGGCCATCTCTAGTTTGGCAGCTTGCAACTTTTTATCAGCTTCTAATTTCTCGATTCGCAATCTCTCTCGAAGATCTTCGGCATTTTGTAAATTTTGACTCAGGGTACGCAATTCGGAAGAAACGATTGCGAAAGAATCTAGCATTTGTCGGTTCTCTAGTACCACATCGTTGAATTGCGGAAGTCTGTCTGTATCTGTAATATTACAATGTTAAAAACAGACAATTTTAGCAAGTTTAGCTTATAATTTAGCACACACTTTTATACACTTTTATAAAATATTATATTTACCAAAAACTATCGTTGATAATTGTTTAAGCTTCTCAATTCTTTTTTCTTGTTGCTCTTCACCAGGCTTTATGTAAGCCTCGATCTCTCGCAGTAAATCGGTAGCTTCCTCGGGGGATTTTACGGTTGTTGCTTTGCGTGCAATAATCACTAAAAGTTTACTACCTTCTCTAAACCACTGTTTAGCTTCTTCCAAGAGCACAAAGTAATCAATACTTAAATTCGTTCGCTTTTCAATATCCTTAACGTATTTCCTCAAATGATCCCATCTGTTTTGCAGAGACAAGATTTCGTCCGTCACTTGTGGTGTTAATGGAACAATTGCTTCTTCTGTTCTCTTTATAAAAGCTTCAATTCTTTTTTCTAAAGTCTAGTAATAAATATATGAATTATCATTAAAATTTTTTCTAAGATTTTCCAAAATTATCTTACAAATTATTATTTACCATTATAGTTTGTTGAAATTGTTCGAAAGCAATCAGTGTCGCTTTCGATACTGATAGATTGTCACCAATTTTTTTATCCATAGTTTTTAATTGTTCGTTTATCTCACATAAATTCGAATTAATCTTTTCGATATCTTCTCTAAAAATACAGAGACATCGATGTCTCTCAAGATGACTTGATGTTTCAATTTGAAACGATTCGTATTTAACGCTCATTGAATCTATCGCATGTTTTAGTTTTTCAATATCTTGTGCCGCTGATTCTGGCGGCTCTTGTAGTCTAATATTGTCAATTATTTCCTTAGATTTAGTATGTACTTGTAATAATGATTCCGTAATGAACGTTTTAAATATATTAAATTTATGTAATGAGCCATCCACGTCAATTAACTTTGTAGAATTTGATGCACATTCAACTTCTTGCTTTGCTTCAGCAATTTTACATTCGATCTTGAGCAATGAACAAAGCCATGAACAAAGAAGAATTTATATGTGTGCGCACATACGTTGCGCGCTGTGTGTGTGTGTGTGTGTGTGTGTGTGTGTGTGTGTGTGTGTGTGTGTTTATACGTATCAAGTGGTGTATATATATGAGCGCACGCATGTGTATTTGTATAAAAATTTTATAACATTATATGGCGTCTTATATGTTTGGGAACATATCTTACCTCCTTAAGATTCTTAAAATTGGAAATTAAAGATTCTAATAACATCTCGTAATTATTTATGATAGTGTTCACTTTTTCATGCATTTGTACGAGTCTTTCTAAAATCTGCTCGGCTGTTTCAGATTCACCTGATTTAATCATTTTTATAATTAAATACATGTTTTTTAAATACAACATGTATAATGTAAATATGTTTCAATTACCTTTTTCAACGAATACTTGAATACTCTTGATTCGAGCATTCAATTCTTGAAGAGCTTTATTTAATTCAAATAGAATCCGTTTTCTTACAACTTCTAAATTATCCAAAATATCAGTTATCATAAAAGATGGTATTGTTATCACTGGATACAGCGTTGTTTCAAATTTTGTAATCCATTCTATTGTCTGCGATGGAATAAAATAATAATAAAATAATAATAATAAAAATTAGCCAAATATAATAAATAGCGTAAATATCTTTATTAATCTTTTTCTGTTTTTTTTTCTTATTTTAAATGCAAATAAGTTAAAAATAAATAATAAATAAATTTATATAAATTTAGGAGTAGTGTAAAAAACTAATAAAAAATTTAACAATATAAATCAGGTATCATACTTTTGTGCTTTCTTCTATTTTTTGCTCGCATTCTATTCGCCTCTGTCTTGTTATTTGAATAGAAGTTTGCCATTTTTCCCACGATTCTGTCAGAACCAATTGTCGACTAGCAAATTTTTCTAAAAGAGTCTGAATGCATAGACAAGCTCGCGATACATCAAGATAAGAGTCATCAATCTATAAAGAAAAAAATATGAATGAAATTTTTTGTATTATATCTTATAGCTTTTTTTTTAATTTAAATAATAACTTTACATTTTTTTTAATTAAAAAGTATTTTATTAACTTACGTTATTCGCTTCATTGAGAAATGCTTTTGCATGATTATCGAGTTTTTCGTGAAAAGGTTCAAAAGACTTCCATCTTTTTTCCAATTCATCAATCTTACTCTCATTTAACACAGTTTCATACTTTTTCAATTCATTATCGAAAGAACTCATTTCATGGATCAATTCTTCCACAGTTTCATGAAAATTTATGTAAATTGTATCCAATTCAATTCTCTTTATCAATGCGATCTTTGTTTTCGTCCATTCGTTTTCAAGATTTTGCATCTTCGATCGTAATTCATATTTCTGTGTTTCGTCAAGTCGTTCTATGATTGGAAGAATTTCCAATTTTAGATGATCTATCTCTTCGTTTTTACTTTCCAATTCGGTTAGCAATTGATAGTGAAGTCGACGAAAATCGCATGCCATTGTTAGATCGCTACCCATGTCTTGATGCTTTTGAAGAAAGACTTTGGCAGTGTTATTTAACCAAACTCGTAATATGTCATGCTTATCTAAGAATGTAGTAATCATTTTCGAAATCTTTAAATTTTCCTCTTTATGAGCAGTACACAATTCCGTCAAACGAAGCTTAAAATTCTCCAATTTTCCTATAATATTTCTTATACCCTATAAATTGATGAATATGACACATACTATTTATATATAATATTTAACATTATATTACTTAGTCGCTTTTACTCTTCTTTCAATAATCTTAATATTGTGATAAATAATACAGACTAAAAATAATGTAAAATCATAACATAATGCAAAATTAATAAGGAGATAATTTACAACCGCATATACTTAATGACAATCTCCTTATAGCAATTAAAATAAGTCTTTCAATGGTGGATCAACTTAATATGCAATAATAAATATTCAATAATTAATTATTAGAATTATAATTGATTAATCTAACCTCGGCACCAGGCGCTCCTCTTCCCGTGATATCCAGTAGCGCATATCCTTCCGACAATGGTTTTGAAGTAATATCTTCTATTGTAGCTATAGTCTGCGCGTGAAGATGAGCTAGTTGTGCAGAAAAAGGAGGGTGTTCCGTGGTCATTAATTGAATTTCCAGCTGATCCAGTTTTATGGTAACCTGTACGCATTGAGTAATATTAAACAATCAAATTTAAATACTTGTATATGTATACAAGTCAATTGAATTAAAAAAACGTCATATTACTTAATCAGTCTATCGTAAGTGATTACAAGTAACACTGACCGATCGTGCAAAATCGAAAAAAGCTATCGCCCTATTTAGCAATGTACTGTATTGATCTAAATCGTTAACATAATCGGCGGCGGTGCTAAGAATCGCATACGCCTGTTCGGTCGCTTGTTCGCCAGCAAAGTGTCCCGATGACACTAATCGTTCGGTCGATTTAGTTATTTTAATGGCTCTATCTTGAAGCTCCTGAAAATAACATTTTTCTTTTAAGAGAGAATACTTTCTACATAATAGTAGAATATAAATGCATATTATTAACAACCCTTCACACGGAAAAGTAGACGTATCTCATTATCTCTGATATACCTTTGCTTCGGCTTGTAACTTTTTTAATTCAAAAAGGAGCAGTTCTGCATTAGATGCAGAATCTCCCAATTGATTACAACTGCCCTCTAATGCAGCAATTCTGTCGTTAAGAATTTCCTCGAGATCGCGAAGATCAGTCGCGAGCAACGCAAGAGCGAGACATTGCTCCAACTGAGTCTTTCTGCTGCGAAAAGATGTCTCGATCAGCCGCCTTCTGTCATGAAGTTCTTCTAGCCATCTTTCAACTCGTATCACAGCTAATAAAATATGTTATATGATATATTTCTCTACATCAGAAATCTTACTCTTATGATAGCGAACTCGTTGATTGATAGAAAGTAAAGTAATTATTTATAGACATTGCACAAACATTTAACACACCGTGATTAGCTTCATCTTTAATCGTATCAGGCCTAGAGTCTAAAGTGCCTTCGTTAGCCAATTCCTTGAGTCCGTCCAGCAATGTCTTACCCTCTCGCAACGCACCCATTAACGCTTCTAACATGTCTTTGCGAAGATCCTGGATTTTTAATACGAAACTTTTTACCGCTTCTATCTCAATCGGTAGTAACGTGTCATTACATGCCATTTCCAACGCTTCCATATTTTCTCTACATTCTGCCGCGCGACTGTAAAGAAAGAACAAATGATTTGATTTCATCGAATAATTGATGTAAAGCGCAATTTTCTTTTTTATTTCATTAATTTATTGTATTATTCTCAGTACCATTGAAATAATACATTGCGATCAAGAATCTCTTTACGACGTTCCAAAAGTTGATTTACATCGCGCCATGCATGACCTAATGTCTCCGCCATGGCTGCGTATACTTCCGCTCTTGATCTCTGAGTTGCAATTAATTGATCAGCTTGTCGCAATAATTCTTTTACCGGGCTTTGTTTATTCTGATTATAGAAAAGTTCTAATTAATAAAAACTTCAGACAAGTGACTTCTGTTTAATTATAATTATAATTAAAGCAAATGTTCTGTTATGTAATTTACAATTCGGTTTGATACGTTTGACTTCACCTGTAATCGAAGTAACACTTGATCGTGAGCATTCGAGAGTTCCGTGGCTTCTTTTACGGAAGCACCAAGTCTCGTTAGTTCTGGTTGTAATTCGAGTATTTTCAGTTTCAGCCATTCGCCGCTCTGAACAAACGATAATAAAGCGATGTACTAATAAAATTGAACTTTTCAGTATAAACAGTACAGCTAATTAAATTGAATGCCATTACATTTTGCGTTCTTTGTGGAATCGTTATTATTTTTATAATTAGCAGAACATTGTATTTAATATCATATAAATAATTATAAAGCAATAAATAAAACCTCAAGGAATGCTTGTTTATCCACGCAATTATCGAAAAATTGTTTCAATTTTTAAATTATTATCGGGATCATTTCAATGGTTTATAATGTAATATATCGCAAATAAAATTTATAGTCGAAATTTTTTTCTCTAATCTTATTAAAAAGTAAAGATGAAAAATAAAAAGCCAGAAGAGAGTGTAGACGGAGACAGTCCTCCAAAGTTCATCGACCTCGTGAGGTTGGGCCAGAAAGGAGCGAGATATGTTTCCATTTTCATCTTTGGCATATTGCCGAATAACCACGTTTGGATTGACCAGTTCTCTCTTCTGGTATATATCGCCACATATCAGAGATAAAATTATGTTTTTTCTTTTTTAATGTACATAGAAAAAGAGATATAGTACTTTATGACAATTTTTCTTTAAAATTTAAATAACCGACATAATTAATAAACATTTAATATATTGGAAAACTAGTTAAACATATTTATGTTATGTGTTGTAAAAAGAAAATGTAATTCATGATTTTTTAGTCAGAATGAAAGTGAGTTCCCACCAGTCTATCATTCAAATTAAACATGATTCCATAAAGTCACGTTCATATACATATGAGAAAAAACTTCACGCGCAATGAAATAACTGATATGATAAAACGTGATAATATTCGGACGCTTAAATTTCGGTTATGCAACGCAAATCAAGTAGAAAACAAAAAATTCAATATAATGTCGAATAGAAAAGATGAATAGAAAATTATTCAACGATAATAAAAACTAAATTAATGATATTAATTGTTTCATTTTCTTGAGTTATTTGTAAAAGAGTTATTTGAAAAAATATAATAAACGCACAACAATAAAAGCAACGAAAACTTAGTGCTTAGTAAATTTTCATGTTTATTAGTAATAATAATTGCGATCCCATAATCATAGAGATCCCACGTGTATCTAGAAACACGTATTTAGCATTTTCTTTTTTGTTTTGAACATAAAAATTACTATCGTTAGATATTGTAAGTACGATATAGGAGAAAGTAAAAGGAAGAATCATGCTGCTCGTCCGTCACTGAGGTAGGCCAGATTGGAGGCCTCAGAAGAGCTGCCTCAAGCTGTCTCGCACATATATATAATACCGGTTTGTTAGATTATACGAGAGTGTGCGGATCGATGCCACAACAGAATGGATTTCTTTTGGTTCGATATGGGCTCACCGATTATCCAATCTACTTATCAATTAATTTTGCACAAATCCTTATACACAATTTAGTACACACACACACACACACACACACACACACACACACACACATATATATATATATATATATATGGTGTTAATTTATATTAATATATAAATTATATTAATTATATGATTATGTATACATATTTATACAAACATATTTGGGTATTATACAAGCATATTTGCGTTATCTTCTCTTATATTCGAAGAGATTGGATTTAAACTTGTAATTAATAATAGAGCGCTTTTTTTTTAAAATATGAATTGTGCGATCGTGATCCTAAATTGACTGAATACTTTAGAACCCAACGTAACGTTTGTAAGATGGGTTTATCTGATCACGATGGTGTGTAATGGGAGTTACTGTACCTAGCGGTTAAATTTATCCTTCGTGGAGTTTCGGGAGACTCGTTTTGCTCAGCGGATACCTAAAACGCTTACGATTTCGAGAGGACTCGGAAATAGCTATAGACCGAAGCAACTGAATCCCGAAATATCTACACCATAATATTACATACGAAGTCGGAATAAATGATTATCCTTTATAATATTAAGAATTATTGGTTTAAGTCTCAAGAATATTTTTGATTTGTGTTTTCTAAATATCCTAATTATATTTATTAAAGTTATTTGCATTAGGCAACTGTAACAATAACAATAAATATAAATTATTGTTGATTATAATGCAACACGATGTTTCTTACTTGAAGTAAAGCGATTACTACACGCGTTTCTCCGCTTTGTACAGCTATGGTGCTTATAGTAGTAGTTGTGGAGACAGTTTGTTGCGATGTATCTTGGTCTCTCTGCATCACTATTTCTGAATTCATCTCAATGGATCCTTCGAGACGCACATGTGCCTCCATCGACTCGGAACTATCCATCATCGTCGTTAGTTTTATCTTTCATACGATAATCGAAACATTCATTTCGGATTTAAGTGTTAAATAAATAAGCATATTATCAATTGTAATCGCAATACAATTGCATGGTAAAATACTCACTAGATACCGATATATGCTACAAATTGAGCAATGCAATTGACAATATAGGTCCTAAAAATTTAAATGATATTATGCGACGTTGTAATGATATCATGCGTTTTAACCCGGACACAGTGATTTCAATGCTTGGTGCTAAATATACCACAGTGACGTACGTTGATCTAAAACGCGACACAATAAACATCTAGCTCATCGATATTCTCAAGATTTTACAGATAAAAAATAATATTTTCTAGTTGGCACAGTTACTTTCCTGATTGTTACTTTTGGCTCCTTGCCAGAGATGCCACTAAGAAAATTTCATAAGCCATTACGATCATAAAAGACTATGTCTGCCATGCGACAAACAAGCGAAAAATATGTCTTTAAAATAAAATCTCTAAAAGCAAGAGAAGACTTCCTTTTGCAAATAAATATTTTTTTAATACTTGTTTTTAATTTGCAGCAATTTTTTATATAGAAAATATAAAAAGATTTAAATTTTTGCAAAGGTTACAATATTTTTCATACGCAAGAAGAGAATTTAACATCCTTTAGTAATTTATAAATTATCAGGTACAATTGATTAAAAAATCTATGCCTGTTAAATATCTGTTTTCTTCCTTGACTCATTGTATTAATACTTTACGTGTATCTTTATAACGATGACGTCATCTATAGGACGAACAAATGGTAGAATAAAACCGGACTGACTAGTAACGTTCTTTCAACGACAAGTACATCACGGTGAAAACCATGTGTGATCGGTGATGATCCAATAGAAGATTCAATGTTATATTGCGAAAAAATTTTTATATATTTTATTATCGAATAAAGATTATGATATAGAGGATTGCTCAATTGTTCGCATATAATTTGTAACTGACTGTTTATATTTTCAAAAATTCCTTTGGTTAACATAAACATGTTAGACAATTAATAATAATTTGCGACATTTTCAATATTTAATGCATAATTATAAATGATCTGTTTATATTTTGAATTAATGAAGATATTTGACAGGTCGTCTTTATCGTCGTCTTTTTGATGTAGTTTAAGTTAAGAAAATGTAAAAAACTTCTTTGCTTCAATTTTCTCATTTTTCTTTTTCAGTTTAAGTTGCGAATTTTCATGATTTTCGATATTTTCCATACGATGCACCAAGCTATACTTATTAAATATACAGAAATGTGTATTTTTTTAAAGCATGGCTTCTTTTGGCACAATATAGCAATCACCTAAACTTGATTCGCGTTCAGGCAATATTAATAATAATGAAAGTCGACGACAACGGCAGTAACACTCGCGTGACACATGTCACGAGTGTATCACGTCACCAGCCGATCGGTTGCAGTAACCAGTCGAACCAAGACTGAACCGGCATAGCACGGCACGGCACGGCACCTCCGGCTAGCCTCCGGCCGGTCGCGGCCACCTCCCGCTTACCTTCGTCGCACTCTACGCTCTACGCTCGTCAAGCACGAGCCACAGAACGGAGTTGCGCGGCGCAGCAGCGCGGCAACGAAAGTGGAAAGCGGTCGTAAAAGAAAGAAGGTCGTTGGATATAACGGATGCTCGCCCGATATATTTCGATATATCTTGTAAGGTATCTTGTTAAGAATTATCCATTTTGTTTTAAATATCATTTATTTATAAAAATAACAAAATAACATATCTCATGCACCGATACACGCCAAAAGTTTGTGATAGCGTATTACATCAAAGGTTTATTTGCAATCAGTTATAAACAGTAAAGCAGTAACAAGTGTGCAAGTAACAATGCTGTCCCTAATTTTTTCACCGATTTTGGCAAATAACATTTTTTCGATATAAATTATATGATTCGTAAATATAAACGTCTTTTTTTTCTATTTAACTAGAGTTGTGTGTGTCCGTGTATAAGTATGTCTGGTATCGATAGCGTTATGGATACTAACATTTATTCTCATCAAATCTCTCTTTTGTATAAAATTCATCTTCATCAAAACTGCAAATAATTTTGTAAAGATTAAGTAGATAGCCATTATTGAATTTAATGAACTAAAGGAATAAACTTTCAGAATCAATTTATTTTAAATACATAAAAAATCCAAACATCTATCACATATGCAATCACTCCATCAAGTAACCATGTTAAAATAGAACAAAGAATTTGAAATAAAAGAAGCCGATCAAATTTAATAGTCAAAGTTAGTAGTTTTGTCACACAATTGCTCTTGCCAACTCGATTAAACATTAAACTCACCTTTCTCGCCCTTTCAAGGAAATCTTCGCTTTCTTTCTTTATCGGCGACATTTCGATTCCGCTATCCTCGTGATGTCGTGAAAGATCTTGCGAAGATAATAGTGCACCTTCATTCTCTCTCAAATCAGAACATACACTTTTATTTAGCATAAGTTTTGATGTAATGTTTTCATCCGATTGAATCTTTTTCAAACTTTTGTTGATATAATTTTCAGATTCTTCTGTTAAAAATGAATTAGAAATGAATAATATAAAAATAAATACAATAAATATAATAATGAATTTGTTGAAAAATCATCGTCACATGTACATATATTATATGTAAAGAAATCATTAAAGTTACAAGATACTGACTAAATGGAAACATATTAAGATGTTGGCGAGTGTCTGCTTTTTCACACGATTCTGTTTCTAGCCCTGATTCCACATTTTGGATATCTTTTACATTGATATCTTGCCGATGATTTTGCATGGTATTTGATACTACCTTGTAAGAGGCTACGTCTAATCGAATATCATGCGATACGCGCAAAACAGTTGTCTCAATAACTTCTTTTACAATTCTGTTTGATTTTTCCTATAACAAAATCATATAACATCTAATAAGGGTATATAATAAGTTTTATGATAGTCGCAAAAATAACAAATAATAATAATGTTAATTTTTAATATTAGTTTTTTCCAGTTAAAAGAAAAAATTTCGAAATCGTGCTGCTTAATAATATAATATAAAATTAGGAAATTAGAAAATTGAAATAATAAATTTTTAAAGATTAATTTTTATGTGCACGCACTCACACACACACACACACACACACACACACACACACACACACACACACACACACACACACGAGG